TACAATGCGACACGATATATCGATAAACGTGTGTACCATATCTAGCTGATAGGTACCACCTCTAAGTAAGTTAGTCACAAATAAACCTTTGCTACGAAAGCACWSWWGCGCGGCATTTTATTATTTCTATATYTCAAACATAGATAACTTCCAGCAACTCGGATAGAGAAGAGTCTCCATCCAACACATAAATGTGTTTACTTCATCACAAATGCCTTGATGGTCAATTAAGCCCTCATTCTCTGCTTCCAATAGGGTATCTAGCATCGCATATCGTTGCTTTTTGCCAATATCACTTTTGAATTCAGTCTGTTGTTTGCTTTGACTTCGTTTACGCTTGATAATGCGGCTAGCAAAGTCGTGTGCCAACTTTAGATTTGTTGTGTGCTTTTTATAACTACCATAGAGATAAAATATTGGCAAATAGTACATTAAAGGATTACAAGCTCGTTCTACCATGACAGTCTCTAAGGCATGTATTGCTTCACGATATTGTGCGCCCTCGATCATATCATCAAGCTTTACACCAAGAGCAGTTTCTGTTAAAAGCAAACACAATAATTATGTATATTAATTGAATTGGGATATATGTATATATACGAACCGCAAACATTATTTAATGTAAACTGCGGAATAAGCTTACTGAGATCCACTTCGTTATCCACATTTCGATATAGAACATCGACAAATTTATTGCATTCTTCCCTAAAATATTCTTACCAATTAGTGCACTGAAATCTTTTTAAGCGGTATGCATGTACTTGAAAATATCTAAAAACTCCTGTAGGATATTAAAATGAAATGCAGGTGTCAACATTTTTCGTCTTATGTGCCACTTCCGATCTTAAAAGTTAAAGGCAAATAAATTAAACATAATTATATGACGTGAAATCCCTTACCTGTACTAATAAGCAATCCATCTCCCATAAAGGGCCTTAGCAATTCGTAAACAACATTTTTTGTTATCAACTTTGTACTTTGAAAGATTTCTTCGGCATCCTCAGCGGATACTACATTGTACATCGGGGCAAATAGAAAATACCAAAGATAGCTCTGTCCGTTGGCCTTAGTATACGCATCACGGACAAAACGAAATAACATTGCTGTGGTAAGCATATACCGATTTTATTCAAATTAAATCATTAAATAGGCCGGACTTACCCGGCGTCATCTTCAGTACATCAAAGTTATTACCAAATCTTGTTTTACCCGGTAGTACAACTACCTTGCCTTTTAAAGGACTGCCATCCACTGTCTTAATGCGCTTAGCTAGAGAAAGAATATAGTATCTTCTGTTAATGTATCGAAGTAGCGCCCACACTACTGCCAGTAATACTGCATTTACAAGCAATGCAATCAACATTTCAGTAAGCTTTAAATTATGTTCGCGATCTATCAAAGTCCAACGTCCCCAACAGACTAATGGAACAATTTTTATAATTTACATTCCGACGCTGATAATGATAATCTGTGACCCTCTTGTTTATTGACATGCTTCAATAAAACAAACAATTCAATGATACAAAAATAATATTGTTACTATACTGTAATGTACTGTACTGTATAATTCTCGTTCACGGTCTAGAAAAATCAATATAAGTATGTACATATATATATATATGTATATAAAAAGGTTCATGCATAATCTGCGAGATCTAACGGTAGTTTAGCAACTTTAGTCTAGCAACTTTAAAGTTGAAGTTGCACTTATAAACCGAGAATGTTTTACTTATTATTGTTTTATATACATATTTGCGCAGCAAAACATCAGTTGAACTGATAAGCGCGGCGTTTATTGCCCCTCTTGAGCAGTGTTGCCAGGTTTTGAGACATAAAAATAGCAAAATCGTCTCTAAAAAATAGCTAAATAGCTAAACAAATTTTAAAATAGCTTACAAAATAGCTAAAACCTTTATGCATTATGCATTTACTTAAAATTTTATTTTTAAATGTTATTTAATAATGTTACAATTTGGTCCACATCCAAAYCATCATCAGAATTATATTTTTGATTAACTGGAATCATGTTTAAATGTAATCATGGAAAATGTGTTATGCTTTTTTGTCGCGGCATGCATTTTAATATCGTGCAA